CATTAACATAAAATGGTTCCACATGGGTTTTCAACTTTCTATGCTATGACCACCGACTGGTATGGGGCGGACCACGCTTCGTGTGGAAAGTTAGAAACCATGTGGAACCGTACAATGATATAGACCTCGTTTCGCAATGTAAGCATTGGGTGGTGTGGGGTAGACCTCGTTTCTTGGGTGGAAATTGCAAACCAATGTAAAAATTACATTCTTTTTATAAAACTTCTTTTGTTAATAACTTTTTTAAGGAACGAACAACGGCTAAAACCTTCTGAAGATTACTCACGAGGGCGAACTTTACAATGTACTATATGTTAAGATTAAGATCATAAAAGGTGAGTCCCCTGTTCGATAAGTAAATTTATCTAATGTTTTATTGAATCTGAAATCAGATAATGACTTACATGATTAGCCATTTAATACGTTTTAACATATCGTACGAGCGCGTATCATATTATTATCAATCGATTTTTTTTGCTTGTACTAGTTTTGAGGATGTAAGTATTATTGCTTTTGGTATTTTTGTTAATTGTTCCTCTTTGTTATTTGGATGTTACCAATGTATTATATTTTGATTAAAATAATGTCTTATTAATAAGAACTTAATTTTGCATGGAAATAAAAATAATAAAGTATAAATTTGTTGATGAAACAATTTATCAGTTAAGAAATATATTACGAAGAATACTTCTAGTAGGCTGGTAGAGCGAGTTAAATTAAACAAAAAAATCCTTTATCGTTTTGCGAGTTCCTCAATAATTAACGAGGAATTAATTAATAAAAATCCGTGAATCAGGATGCATCTATGCGATTCGGCGGCAAAAGACAGCCCAGCGTTACATATTATTGGCAGTTGCCAGACGCATGCTCCTCCCGATGCCTCACTGCGCGCATAGTAACCCCAATCAGCGCGTGACTGAGTTGTCTTTTCTTCGCTACGTGCTTTCATCGTATTGAATCGCGTAAATGCATGCTTATTCGCAGATTTTTATTAATTATTTTCAATAATAAATTTCTTATTAATTATTGAAAATATCGCAACGATAGAGAACTTTTCTATTCAGTTTAAACTGCTTTATTTACTCACAAAAAGTGGCACAGGCACCCTGTATGTATACAAAGTGTTTCGAAACAACATGGTGTAAGAGTTAATAGAGGGTGACAAATCAAACATTTTTCAAGATAACAATTCATATCCGGAAGTGTTACGACGTTTATTAAGCTGGCACAGCCATTTCGGTACAATCGAATAAGACTTATATAAAAATTATTCCTGATTTTTTTCAGCCGATTCGCTGAAAACAATGGCTGTGCTAGCTTAAGACTAAAGTTAGCACAGCCATAAAGAGAAAAAGCAGGAAACTAAAAAACAAATACGTATTTTTGTAGTTCTATTTAATTGCTTATTAATAAATTATAACATTAACCCATACACGTTGTCGTGTTGTTTCAAAGGAAAAAAATATATACATATATAAATATATATTTCTCGAAACTTCTTCTTTCTCTTATACTATGTATATAAGAGAAAGAAATAAGAAAAATTTTTTCCATATAAATGTATAACTTTTGAACGTAACTCTTTCCTTAAAATAATTTTTAAAGTATCGACATATGTTCCGAAACGGTTAACAAAAGTTACTCCATTCTAGTATCCTTACTTATTAGATAAATACAAAAAATATACACTCTTAAGCATGTGTCGCCAAAAATTGGAGGTACATGTTGAAATTTTGTCCCTACGTAATTACGAGGGACATAAGTCACTCTTAAGCATGTGTCGCCAAAAATTGGAGGTACATGGTATGTACCTCGAAGTTAGGAAGTACGTTATAAGCAACGAATATTTACCCGACAAAAAAAATTATTATTTCGAAATTTTATTATTATTTTTTAACTAAATTTGTTTCTTAAGATGCAGTCTATGATTATAAATATTTTCACGTATTTGAAAAATCACTTACCATGGTGGGATTCGAACTCGGGACCTCTGGATCGTGAGCCAACTGCCTTACGTGGTAGACTACTTCTTAATTTAATGTAAGTGTTATATATAGTCTACACATATGTCATAACCAGCGCAAATATATAGTTTTTCAAAAATTATCTTAAGAAACAAATTCAGTTTAAGAAGAGTAATAAAATTTTGAATTGGATATATGATATAATATTGCCCGCTGCTATTCGCGAATGTCTTTCGTTCAACAAATGTCGCGATCATGCCATGGTTGGCTACGTATACGAGGTACGTATGTAGGAGGTATATACGGAAAGCCCCCTAAAAAACTGTACCTCCTAAAACTGTACCTCCTATGACACGTCCGTGCACGTCCGCGTCGAGTGGTTTCGCGAATGTCTTTTGTACGAGGTACATATGTAGAAGGTACACATTTGTACGAGGTACATATGTACGTACGAAGTACGTATGTACGGGGTACATACGGGAAGCCCCCTAAAAAACTGTACCTCCTAAAACTGTATCTCCTAAAAAATTGTACCGTGAATTTATAAGTGCGGTACCTCCAATTGGTACCTCCTCCTTTATCAGTACCACGTGTATTCCGTACCTCGTGCTACTGTACCGGGAAAAGTATCTCCTAGCGGCATGTAACTCAAAATGTCATTTCCATTTAGAAATTAGTACCTCGAATTTGGAGATACTACGCGGTACATGCTTAAGAGTGTAGAATTACCTGGGCAATCACATTAGAAATGAGTATCATATAGAAGCACGTTGCACGAAAACGCTCAAACTTGGTTTTTTTATAAGGCCACAAACCAAGAATCCTCAAAAGGTTTTGATTAAGTTTATGATAGTGATCGTCGAATATATACATTCTCTTGCAATGGTCGAGACACGAATAGGAGGCGGATCTGCAAGAGCAGATTTCAGAGAGCAGATTTCAGAGAGCGGATTTCACTTCGCGCATGCTTTTTCCTCCGTAATGATTTATTTAATATACCGGCCAATTTCTTCTTGGATTTTTCGCGACGCGTGATAGACAGCGGGAGATACAACATCGAGGAGTGAGTGACAGTTGTAGCAATTTAAGTATTGTCCGTGTCTGTATGATGAAAGAAAAAAAGAAAATCAAGCTTTTCTATTGGCTATCGCTGATATAGCGAGATATGAACAAAGCGAAGGAAACATGAGTCATGTTCACATGATGTAAATGTTCGGTATAAAAAAAAAATCTCTTTAGAAATTTTTTATAAGCAAATTAGCTCCCATTCCGTTCTGAGTTGGCGCAAGCGCATTCGCGTAGCGTTGTCGCCGCAACGCTTTGAAGAAATTCATTCCCGCATCAGCCGTTCAACAGAACTCTCTCTTTCCTCCATAAAATAACATCAACGACGATATACTACATATCTTTTGTTAAACTACGATAAATTAATCGAGGACACATTACGTATCCGTGTATATCATCGACAAATGTTTTATTCCATCATTTCGAATTTTTACGAATGTAAATGTGAGTTAAATAATTACGAGAAGAAACAAAATTGGAAACATACGGGTGCGTATAAAAAATCGCATATCAATAAAAGAATTTGATTAATATTATAGTACCGACTTTCAAGCACAGTCATCTTTCCATGAATGCCGAAACGCATATGCGCTCGATGATAATGAGAACCTTTTTCTTCCCTCTCTGCGGTGCTAGATATAGTCGTAGCGTGACTGATGCGAATAATAGTAATAACAATAATTGCGAAATTATCCGGAGTTACGTGTGAAGCACAAGGAAAGTCTCGATCGATTATCTACTATTAGGGTGTATGTCTCTCGATATTCACGCGAGAAAGAAAATAGACTGAAATTAACCAAACACGCAATGCCACATAATAATTTTCGAGGGGGAATAAAATTCGTAAGATATGTTCTAAGTTAGCATGAAACAATCAACATTAGATGTTACCATTCAAGTTTGAACTACCGTATGTGCTATGCCATTCTATTTTATTAATATTTCGGTTAGTGTGAAAAAGAAATTATTAAATTATGGATCAACAAATGCAATCTTAGAATAGAGATATGCTATGAGTAAGTAAAAGAAAGTAGTGTAATAATTATATTTTTCAAGACAATTAGAAAATGTATTAAAAGATGCAATTTAAAAGATAGATGAATAAGCAAATATTTTACAAATAAATAATGTTAATCACCCATTAATTAATGCGCAATATAATATTGCATGCATTAATATATTTATTTTTACATTTCTGATTGATATGAGTAGTAGATATTTCACAAAAATAAATTTAATATTTTACTTGTAAAACAGGATAATATCGATAAAAAGCACTTATAAATAGAGAAGAAACAGAAAAAAAAAGAAATATCAAAATTATGGAATTTGTTAGGTGCATTATTTTTTAAGTATTAAGTAACAAAAATAATATGTAACGAAATAAAATATTATTTATTAATAAATAAAAAACAGATAATATTATCTTATTTACTCAAATTATATCTTTCTATTTTATTCTACTGTGGAAAATTTCTACATATGTATGTTACTACAAGCAGTTATGCTTTCTGCATTAGTTTATGAAACTATTGTAGAGAGTACATTACCATCATAAAGGATATTCCCGTGTTCATGATCTACAACAAATAATCCAATGAAGCTGATAACGTGTTGATATAGAAGGACGTCATTGCATTCTCCATTTGCACTGTCTTACCGAGGTAAAGGTCTCCATTACTATAACGCGTAGACCGGCAACATTCGCCAAAATACTTTTTGAAGAGATTTGCATTATAAATAAGAAGAATTTCTGCACCGACACAGGTGTTTTATACCATAGCGACATGTATCTAAAAAATTTCATTTTATTCGGTGATAAAAAAAATATATGTACATGTATATAAAATGTATATACATATATATGAAATATGTCTCTTAACTACTATTTTTATCCATAAGAATAATAAAGTTGTGAATAAAACAACAAATTAATAAAAAAAAAGCAGTAAATGTTTTATTCGATTATGTTGCAGTGATTACGCCAGCTTAATAAACATTTAAAAACTTTATGGACAAGTAATTAAATATCTAAAATTGTTAATTTTCAGTTGGTCATATATGCAATTTATTCGATAGATGTAAATAATTTTATGTAAATAATTTTGATTTCTTTTTCACGAGAAGTTAAACAAAAATCGCAATATAGATATTAGTTATTATCGTCCTACATATAATAATTCTATAAGAATGAGTATAAACTTTATACATTTGTTGTGCATAGTTTTGTACGAGAAGTGCACGGATTATTACTCACATGGCGTTAAATAACTCGTCAGCATGGTTTACGAACTGTTGTCCCATAAAAGTACCTCCGAAGAGATAAATCTCATGTCCTATTATATAACTCATTGCTATTATAAAATCCATCAAATTATCCATGCTTGTTATCGCGTGAAACAACTATTAATAACAAAATGATTTAAGTAATCTTCATTATATCTATATGTACAATTATTTGAAAAACTATACAGGGT